TCTAGATTTCCAGACGACACGTTAGGGAGTTTTTTCGCGTGGTTTTGGACCTTGCTCGTCCTTCCGAGCCATGGTGTTTTGCTGCCGGGAGCTGCTTTTTTCGAAGCTGTTTTACCGGCATCAGCAGCAGCAGCCGCCGCCACCAGTTCTGCGAGCAGCCGCAGGCAACAGAATCTTTCGACCTTGCTCGTCCTTCAGAGCCATGGTGTTTTGCTGCCGGGGGCTGCTTTTTTCGAAGCTGTTTTACCGGCATCAGCAGCAGCAGCCGCAGGCAACAGAATCTCTCGACAAATGCTGTTTTTCTAGATTTTTTCTAGATTTCCAGACGACACGTTAGGGAGTTTTTTCGCGTGGTTTTGGACCTTGCTCGTCCTTCCGAGCCATGGTGTTTTGCTGCCGGGAGCTGCTTTTTTCGAAGCTGTTTTACCGGCATCAGCAGCAGCAGCCGCCGCCACCACTTCTGCGAGCAGCCGCAGGTAACAGAATCTTTCGACCTTGCTCGTCCTTCAGAGCTATGGTGTTTTGCTGCCGGGGGCTGCTTTTTTCGAAGCTGTTTTACCGGCATCAGCAGCAGCAACCGTCGCCACCAGTCCTGCGAGCAGCCGCAGGCAACAGAATCTCTTGACAATCTCTCGACAATGTGCTGTTTTTCTAGGATTTCAGACGACACGTTAGGGAGTTTTTTGGCGTGGTTCTGGACCTTGCTCGTCCTTCAGAGCCATGGTGTTTTGCTGCCGGGAGCTGCTTTTTTCGAAGCTGGTTTACCGGCATCAGCAGCAGCAGCCGCCGCCACCAGTCGTGCGAGCAGCCGTAGGCGACAGAATCTCTCGACAATCGACAAATGCTGTTTTTCTATGCTGTTTCTATGCTGTTTTTTTGCTGTTTTTCTAGCACATTTTTTCTAGCATTTCAGACGACACGTTTGGGAGGTTTTTTTGGCGTGGTTCTGGAACTTGCTCGTCCTTCGGAGCCATGGTGTTTTGCTGCCGGGAGCTGCTTTTTTCGAAGCTATTGTACCGGCATCAGCAGCAGCAGCCTCCACCTGCGAGCAGCTGCAGGCGACAGACTCTCTCGAAAAAAGCTGTTTTTCCAGGATTTCAGACGACACGTTAGGCAGTTTTTTAGCGTGGTTCTAAAACTTGCTCGTTCTTTAGAGCCATGGTTTTTTGCTGCCGGGAGCTGCCGGCAGGTGCTTTTTTCGAAGCTATTTTCCTGCGAGTAGCTGCAGGCAACAGAATCTCTCGACAAATGCTGTTTTTCTATAGAATTTTCTCTAGAATTTCAGACGACCGGTTAGGGAGTTTTTTGGCGTGGTTCTGGAACTTGCTCGTGTTTCAGAGCCATAGTGCTTTGTTGCCGGGAACTGCTTTTTTCGAAGCTGGTTGACCGGCATCCGCAGCAGCAGCAGCCGAATACAATGACAGTACATTTACATTACACCAAATTACACTACATAACTTTACATTGCAAGGTACATACCAGCCAAAGTCCATCAAACTGCGCGGACAAAACCATGGTAAGAATGTCCAAGCGTTATGTCTGGGTTCCATTTAGTATTTCCTTCAAACCTTATTAGAGTGTCGTCTAGGGTCTCTTTAGGATGCATTTAAAGTTTCATTCAAATGGTTTCTTTAGGTCAATTTCTGGTTTCTTTAGGGTTCATTTCATTTAGGATCCAAACAGAAGAGAATAAAACAAAAGAATTAGAATTTCATGCCGAGCTTCTCTGGGATTCACTCGGGCTTCGCGTTTCTTAAAGATTTACATCTCTTAAAAGTTTTCTTTCGAGTTTCTTTAAGGTTTCTGTCGAATTTCATGCAGGGTTTGCTTTAGGAATTCTTTCAGGTCTTCCGGGGTCGGCGGCAGGGGCGGCAGCCCTTAAATTCGGCTCCGCCGGCTCCCCACGAGTGGCTTGCCCTACGAGCGTCCCAGAGCGACTAGAGCTCTAAGGTGAGGCGCGCCCCAAACCGCTGACCCTCCGACGCCGGGCCTCAAAAAACACCAAAAATCCTTCAGGAGGGTGGGGGAGAGCTTTTTGGCCAGAATCCGGGTCGCTCATAAGCGTCTCCAAGAGCAAAAGGCCCCCCCCCCCGTTTGGAGGGTACCTAAAATCGGAAAAAAGTGCCGTTTTGACACATTTTTCGGACAATTTTCAACTTTTCGAAAGTCACAAAATGCTGTAAATTACAGCATTTTTGCGTTTTAACGTCTTTTGCGGGAGCCATGCAAAAACGCAGAAAATGCTGTAAATACCAATACGTTTTCAACCAGAGATGCACAAAACACTGCAAATACCAGTGTTTTTGAAAGCCAAGCAAAAAAACATTGTAAATTACAGCATTTTTGGCGTGTTGATCGCAAAAAATGCTGGTATTTACACGGTTTTTGCAATTTCAAGAAAACGTGGAAGGCACGAAACGCTGTAAATAGCGGTGTTTTAGCCACTTTTGGACGCTGAAACGCTGGTATTTACACAGTTTTTTGCCCGTGACGGCGCCAAACCCCTGTAAATTACAACATTTTCTGCACTTTTTGAACCGATTTTTTGCCTTGGTGAACGCAAAAAACGCTGGTATTTACGCGTTTCCCAAAAAATCGAAGATCGTGACGTGAACGAAACCCTGTAAATAACAGTGTTTTAGCCACATTCGGGGACTAAAACTGTGGTATTTACGCGGGTTCTTGCCAGCTGACAGCGCAAAATGCTGTAAATTACAGCACTTTGTGCGCTGTTTATGTTCAATTTTTAAACGCGCGATGCTTTCACATGTTCTTTGCATTATTTTGCATTCTTCCACAAGAAACAACGTTGCAGATTGAAACTGGACGACAGCGTGACCCGAAAGAAAGCTGGAGGGAGGAGACGCACAGAAGCTTTTACCCACACACACACAGGGGCTTTTACACAGAGAAGTCTTTACACAAACGAGCTTTTTACATACAGAAGGTTTTACACAGAGAAGTCTTTACTCTAAGGTGCTTTTGCAGACAAACGTCTAGGAGCTTTTACTCACAGAAGTTTTTACACGAAGAAGTCTTTACACAGAGGGCTTTTTACACACAGACGCGTTTGCACACAAGAAGCTTTTACACAGAGAAGCCTTTACACAGAGTAGCTTTTTACACACAGAAGGTTTTACACAGAGAAGTCTTTCCTCTGAGGAGCTTTTTCACACAACGTCTTGGAGCTTTTACACACAAAAGCTGTTACACAAAGAAGTCTTTACACAGAGAGCTTTAACACACAGACGCGTTTACACACAGAAACTTTTACACAGAGAAGCCTTTACACAGAGAGTTTTTACACACGGAAGCTTTTACACACAGAGAAATCTTTACACAGACGTGCTTTCACACAGAGAAGCTTTTACACAAAGAAGTCTTTACACAGAGAATCTTTTACACACGGAAACTTTTACACACAAAAGCTTTTACACAGAGAAGTCTTTGCGCAGAGGCGCCTTTACACGAAGTAACAAGTTGAAATTGGCAGCAGTTCTTTAGGAAAAACCCTTCGCAGGAGCTTTCGGGAACTCACTTGCTCCCCAAAAAATTGTCTATTCCAACAAATATGTTCCAAAAAACCTAAGGAATATATTTCTGAAGCAGGTCCTCATTCAGTAACTTTCACGCCCACACTGCGATGAAATGGAGGGCCGAGTGGTCCGGCGGAGCCGACGATGAGCGTCAGCTCAAAAATCCGGCGACGCCTCGCCGTGTGTGTGGGGAAGCTAAGCATAGCTTTAGCTACCCGGGGGCGCGCCCCTGCCGCCGACCCTCCCCAAAAATCCTTTAGCCTGGTGGGGTTTTCACGTTTTTCGGGGTCTGGGGTGGACAAAAAGAGGGTAAAATTTGAAGATGCGTTTTGGAGGTCCCAAAAATCGGAAAAAAATACCGTTTTGACACATTTTTCGGACGATTTTTCGCTTTTCGGAAGTCACAAAATGCTGTAAATTACCACATTTTTGCGTTTTAACGTCGTTGGCGGGAGCCATGCAAAAACGCAGAAAATGCTGTAAATACCAATACTTTTTGGACCCGAGATGCACAAAACACTGCAAATACCAGTGTTTTTGAAAGCCAAGCAAAAATACATTGTAAATTACAGCATTTTTGGCGGGTTGATCGCAAAAAAATGCTGGTATTCACAATGTTTCTGCAATTTCAAGCAAACGTGGAAGGCACGAAACACTGTAAATAGCGGTGTTTTGGCAACTTTTGGACGCCGAAACGCTTGTATTTACGCAGTTTTTTGCTTGTGACGGGGCCACTCCCCTGTAAATTACAGCATTTTTTGCACTTTTTGAACCGATTTTTTGTCTTGATGAATGCAAAAAACGCTGGTATTTACACGTTTTTCAAAAAATCGAAGATCGTGATGTGAACGAAACTCTGTAAATAAGAGTGTTTTAGCCACTTTCGGGGACTAAAACTGTGGTATTTACACGGGTTCTTACCATCTCACAGCACAAAATGCTGTAAATTACAACACTAGGCATAGGCCAACATAGCCTCAAGATGCGCCAACATAGCCCCAAGATGTGCCAACATAGCCCCAAGATAGGCCGCCGACCCTCAGCATGTCATGTTCGCAAGTTCAGATGACATCCCCCTCTCTCTTTCCCTCCCCCGACCCTACCGGCGTCGCCGGTGTGCGAAGCTCTACAATATTCTTTTTTAAAGGATATGTAAACCCCAATTGGGATCGGTTTACTGTTTGCTTACCACATTAGTTTTGGAGCTACTAAATGACCTTTTTGTGTTTTTTGGCAAAATCTTGGCAGCCTGAGCATGGAGTTTCAGCGCAACCAGTTGGAAGTGTGTTCATACATACAGTAATTCCTTCGGAACCAGTTGGTTTGCCCTCTAAGATCCTTCTGAAGCCAATTGATGTAAGACATCTAAGATCTCTAAGTAGCTGAGATGTCCTCTAAGTAGCCCTTAAATTAATATTAATTAGCCAATGCAGAAGTGGTAGATCCCTGTGACTCATCCCGCGCCTCTGTGGACTCTGTTCCCTGCCAGGATTCCAGGATGGGCCAGGATGGGCCAGGATGGGCCAGGATGGGCCAGGATGGGAGGTAGCACACATCAAGGATTTGATTCTGGGATGGAAACCCTTTATCTAGTTAATTCTATGTTAATTCTATGTATCTATATGATGGAGATAGGGTTATTATGAGTAGAATCAGGAATATACCCTCTATTGATCTCTATATCTATTTATATGTTCGTATTCCTTTATAGGTATATGTAGATATGATATCGAAAAGCAGTTCCATGAAATACTGTACATCTGAAGAGAAGGCAGTTGGCAACGCTGCAAGCAATCTATCAGACACGCCAATGAAGGGGAGGTTCCAATGGCCATGGTGGTTCACCTGGGGGTTCTGATTGCTGTTACGTCATTCTGCGATTGCCATGGACTTCTGAGCAACGTTCCACTATCGGGGGTCGCGCTTTGAAACCTGAGCATCAAATACCAACAAAGAAGTCGTAAATGATCAATTGATATCTATTGTATTAAATTCTATTGTATTCTTGAAATTTCTTGAATGTTTCTTGAGCCCAACTGCTTGACCCCACCTGATCGGTCTGCGTGCCAGAGCTCACTGCCATCGGCCTGGGCAGAGTCTCCATCCCAAGGAATGCTTGAAACCCAGGATTTCCCAAGTTCGCTGGATTTCTGGGTATGGACTCAATAAAACTATGGAATTTACATGAACTTCTAGGTACCCACTGTCATAAACTGCCCTCCAAAAAATAGGGCTTGGTCTGAAAATAGGGTCCCAAAAAAAATCTGGTGGTTTATTCATGTTATCCTCATTTTCCCCATGAAGACTGTTATTTTGTGGGTGTCCCATGGTATCAACATCTTTCAGACACACCCAAATCAGTCCTTTTCCCACTGTTCCCGGCCTTGGGAACACCGAAGGTACCGCCACGGTGGATGCCTCTGACTGCCAGGAATTGACTGCCAGCGGGCCTCAGAGTATCTCCAAGTCCAGGCCGGCGACCCCAGAATGGATGCTGCTCGTATGGATAAAACCAGATGTAGGGGGGTTTTCATATAAATAGTGCACCTCCTTCCCATGATTGATCATCATCCCTATGCAAATGGCCGTTAAGAATGGAGCATCCCCCATTTAGCGACAAACCCAGTTAGGGCATGGAGCAAAAGAATCAACCCCAGAGAAACGGATGGTGTAATGCGGTTACCCTCTATCCCCTCACCATTTAACATAGCTATGGAAAATCACCATCTTTAATGGGTAAATAGTGGTAAATCATCTACGTATCAATAGGCCGCTTTCCATAGCTATTTTGTTTAGATTACGGAGGTTGATGTGTCTAAAGAATCTATTGCTAAATATGGATAAATATGGCCTTAGTAGTTGTGGTAGTAATGTTTTTGGTATCAAATGTGCACCAAAGTTTTGATCCATAGAGATCCCATCCAAGTTTGTAATGAATGGCTGCTTGGGTTTGCATCGAATCTTTCGGAGACTCTGAGCCTTAGGGCTTGCATCCAAAGGCCTCAGCAATCTGGATTCTAGGCCCCGGATTACTAGTGTGCAACCACTGAAACCAGCTTTATATACTCATGATATACTCATGATTAAAATATATATATATATTTATTTATGTTGAATCATGTCAAATCATATATTGAATCTGAATCATATTGATTCATAATACTCAATACTCCATCTGCGATGGCACCTCCCGGGAGCCACCAGCATGGTGGAGGTAGAGGACCAGGTTGCATCCTGAGACCGCCATGGGGCCATGGGGGATGGGACCCTGGGACACATGAAATTCTCCATCGTTTGTTGATGTCTGATGATGTTTGATCTGATGATTTGATGATCTGAATGATCTGAATGATCTGAAAGACATGATCTGCCTATTTCATCTGATGTTGATCTGATTTTGGTAATGTTATTCTATTCATCTTGGTCATATTTATCAAACTTTAGCATGATGGAACCCTCAAAAAAAAACTTGGGAAAACCAAATTCAGCATCCAATATCACCACCTGGGTCCATGCTGTGAGCTGCAGTTGGTTCAATGACCAGTGTAGTCAGGTGTTCGAAAACCCGATATTGGGGATGTTATGATCTTTGCCGAAACTGTTTGCCCGACAAAAATAACACGTAAATCATTGAAATGGGGAATTTGCCCCACAAAAATGGAAGCAACAAGCGATCTCTAACCCTAAGTCCCATCTCCAAGCAGCAATTGGTGCGGTGACCGTGGGCGTCACCACGTAGCTCACGGGCGTCATGACCTGGAGATCAGCCCCAATAAGAGAACCATCTATGGGGGGTCACCATGGGTCACCAGACTGCGGTGCATGAACTGCCTATTTTTATTAACCAATGGGGATGTGTTTTTTAAAATGAGGAAATCCAGTGGGGACATTCAACAAATTGGGACTTGGAGTTTGATCATTTGAGGTCCTGTATCATGGGACATGGCTTCAGGGTGCTCAGGGTGAAATGGCCCAACTGAAAAGGAAGAAACTGTAGATCAGGTAAACCGAAATTTTATTGGCTTCCGAAAGCCCCGCAGTAGATCATTGGTTTGAAAAAATGTGCGGTTTCTAGTGGGTTTTGCTATATTCATTTAGAATCTCTCATGAGTTTCACCCTTCCAAGTCATCCAAGTTGGGTCCTGCTCAGGCTAGGAGAACGCGCCTTGGGCGATGGTTCTGGCTGCCAACTTCTGTCGATCTCCAAGGGACCTTACCATCAGCAGCTGGAGAGGGGTGGGTCATTTGGTCCCTTGCAACTGCACGTTTCTTCGAACATGGAGCTGCCAAAAGGCCATTCCAATGGAGAAAATGATGTTCTAAACCATGCGATCTATCTCAGTACCCTCCTTTCAGTGGGATTCCTAACTTCAAATGCACCAAAGACCTACCTTTTAGATGCCTGGGTCCATAGAGAGATTGCGCCTTTTTTCAAATTTCCGCAGCCTATGGCCTCTGACGATTTGTCAAATCCACCAGGCAGGAGGCCTCCCCACAACGAGTGAAACCAGGAATGTCTGGGGAAAGCGAGATGAAACACAAGACGAAAGGGATGAAAGGGACCTGTCTTCACCAAATTCACGACCTAATGATCCATCTGAAACTATCTTGTGCTCATTTTTGTGTGAAAATAATGTGCAAATGAGGGTTCCCAAGTTTCAACAAACACCCAAAGAATCAGGTTACCACTCTTAGTCTCAACATCTCCGTAACATCCCACCTCTCCATATCCGCTCTGGCGACTCTTGCCCTCAGTTCGATGCAAAAACCGAGTGCCAAGCCATGGAACCCAAAAAAAACGTATCATCGGAAGTTTCCAGAGCTGAAAAAATGTGGTTCTTGCCATGAAAATGTTCGGTGCAAATCACTCAAACCCAATCCACATCCGGCCCCAAAAAAACACGTTGATCCAAGCATCAGCTGGAAGAACCTCGACCTTCAGCAAGGTCCGAGGCCTCAAGGATGTCTCCATGAACATAACATATATGATACACATAGGATGTTTCGGTATGTAGAATATCTGACCACAAAAAAACATGCAACTGTAGAAAAACACGTATAATGAAAAGGGGAATACTTCTGTGCCACAATTTCTTCAAATTGTGTACCAAAATTTAGCGATATTACAGTATCACCACAAAAGGCGATGATAACCAGGTGCAAAAAGGTGAAATAAACAAAATATCCAAACCAAACAGGATTGCGTCCCATACGCCAGATTCTCTCCTGGTATTTAATTTTTTGCGCACCCGAATCACCCATTCCATCCAGTTTACCCAGTTTACCCCCTTGCCCCAATCATTTACCAATCATTTACCAATCATGGTGGTTTTGCTTGAAAATAACACCAAAATCCAATGACGTATCATCATTCCCACGCAAAAAATGCCATGGGGATACTACAGTAATTTTTGGTCATGTAACATAACTATGGAAATCACAATTTCTAATAGGGACGCGTTGTCGCACTCGATGGGCAATTGTCCATAGTCATAGCTATGTTGGTTTACTGGAAGGTAAAAAAAATCCATATCCCCAAGAAACGCTGGTGTTAAAACTATCATACCACATTGTTGGTGAAACTTCCCTGCTATATCGCCATAATATCGCCATTTTTTCATGTTAGATACACATGGTTGATGTTCAATCCCCATTTCATGAGAAACCCAGCCCAAGCCTTGGTAGCGTGGGCGGATACGTTGACCCATGAGGCGCTGAGCGCGACCTGCGTGAAAACGGGAACGGCTGCCATAAAAGATATGATTGACATGATAAATACAGTAGGTCTGATAATTAGTGTGTTTTATTTGTATCATATAAATATATGACACATATATGACATATATATATATAGTGTGTGTGTGTGCGCGTGCTTGTTGTACCAATATATATAATAGTGTAAATGCTCAGCGGCCACGCCGGGGCTGCGTTTTACACTTGCAGCTAGTGTTAGTGTGGCTGCACGTAGCTGCTCTTTGCAGTTAATGTTGGATCTCGATTAGTGCAACGGGTCGGCATTGTTTTTTTGAAATTTTTTGAAATAATTCTAGCCCTGTGCATTGATGGGGTTAGGTGATAGGAGCGCACTCGGGCACGCACATTCCCGTCCGAGGTCCACGCCGCCAAGGACGGCGGCCGGTCTACCTACGCCTGCGTACATATGAATATGTGCTTTGTTGTTCGTTTGTTGCGGATTAAGCCGAGGTGCTGTGAACTCATTGCCCGAAATCAAGCTTTGAAGCCTCGATGGTAAGGTCAACCGCTCCAATCCTTGGTTGTTAATTCTGCTGGAATTCAAGATGGACCGATGGGCAAAAATTCTGCTGCTATTCAAAGTGATCAACGCGTTTGCGTTTGTAGCATGCATTGCTCATGAGCGTACTTCGTTTAATCCCCACCTGGTCACTGCGCTACTGTGAAACCACCATGAGGATGACCAAACTCACCACCGACCATGGACCAGTCCAGACCAGCGTACACTGTGGCATGCGGTCCCCAGAGTTTCGACGGCTGCGATATCCGAAATCCAGCAACCCGAACTCAATTGCACACGAGCCTTATGTCAGCAACAATAAAGCAGCCAAAGGGTTGTATACATTTTCGTTGACATGTAGCGCTTCGTCCCAACATCTCAATTTGACAAAAATCAGTGACCTCGCCACCGAATCCTGTAAATACCACACGAAATTGCAACGGAAGAGTTGTCGACTCTTACGCGGTTTTCTGGTCCTTTTTCACGTTGTGGATTGATTAACTTTGGAACTCAGCCCTTCACAGGCAATGGAATTCAAAAGGGACAAAGGCGCAGCGACAAGAGAGAAGCAGCACGGCCTTGTCGGGCCATGGCACTATCCTGAAACAAATCTGCGAAGGCATACAGGACAGACATAAAGAGTTGAGAGTTATACAGTAACATGACCTGTGAGCTTGGGACGAGACTGCACGTGACCACCAGCACCGACTGCGCGCCACCCTTCGCCGAAGCTTTCGCCTTGTGGTTTGGGGTGCAGGTTGATGTGCTTGCAAGACAGAAACAGGAGAACGAGCCAAGGCAGAGACCAACGGCAAAGCCAATATCATACACATATGTGTGTATTAGTGTGCCTAGAACAAGGAAATGAATAAATCAAGAAACCACCTGCCAATTCCAAAACGCCAAGTATTTGTCGTCGATGGCATTGCCATCATCTGATGCGAAAACACCACCTCGTCGCCACTCTCGTCTGCATCGTCCTTCTTATTCTTTCCTCCACCTGGGCCAAGTCTTCTGTTGGCAAAGCGCATGCAACAAAGTCAATCCAGTGTTTCCCAAACTGCACCCCTTGTTTTTGCGCTGAAGGCAACTGAAATATGCCAATTAATTGATACACTACATTGTGGGCCTTGATCTATATACCTGACACAAAAGGCTCCTGGCCAGACTTTGGCACAAAATGGCTGCTTCTTGTCTTTCCTCTGTCAACGGTTTTTGATGCAGCAGCAAGAAAGCAAACCGAATTCTGAAGTCCCGCCTTCGCACGCTGCTTCGCCACCTTGTCGCGCCGGCGACAGCCATGATGACAGAGGGGTGTGTCTGTCTGCGCATGTGTGTGTGCATGCGTGATGCATGCATGCAGACTAGGCTGCAGCAGTGGTGCAACGCACGTCGTCCTCCACAAGCAAGAAGATACCGCCGCGACGGCGCGGCGCCTGCACAACCAGCGAACCTTCCCTAGCTATTCACGACGAATGATTTTTTTGGCAACGTGTTGTCAGACCGTCGCCTTCAGGTGGAGAGGTTCAAAGGCACCTGAAAGGAGTCAATTGTTTCAGTTTGTTTCAATTTCTTGTTTCAGAATTGTGCTTTTTCGCATGTGTTGTTCATATTTGTTTGGGACATTTTTGTCAAATTCTATCAAAACGATCAAAGTCCTGATCAGTTAATTCATTAACAAGTTGTTTAAAACCCAATAATAAAACAGCACCAAGACAATTTATCAATGGGGTGCATGAGCGACCCAGATCTCCAATTCTATTGTGTCCTGCTCTTTCTTGGGTGCAAATTTTCACACACACACCCCTTTATCCTTTTCTTTGGCAAGGCTGAGGAAACTTACTTGGCTTTTATCTTGAAACCTCAGAATGCCACATTCCCCCAAAATCTCAACTGTCTTTTTAAAACACAATGAAAATTATTTTACTTCGAGTGATCCCCACCCTACTGATGAATTAATTTGTCACAATTTCTGACCTATCATTTGGAAGTCTATTGGCATATATCTTCTGAGATTCTATCCTGGCATTCTATCTGACATTATTTCCTGGCATTCTATTTGGCATCTATTCTGACATTCTATTCTGGCATTCTATCTAGCATTCTTTCTGGCATTCTTTCTGGCATTTTATCTGACATTGTATTCTCGCATTCTATCTGGCATCTATTCTGACATATAGTTAGATTTAGGTTTGAAAGGAAAATCATCTAAACTTGAAAGTAAATTGAAATCAAATGAAATCCGTTCTTGTCAATAAATTTCTTTGAGATGTAAAAGGAAAATCAATTGAAAATAAATTGAAATCAACTGAAACCCGTTCTTATCAATAGATTTCTTTACAGCGAAAAAGGAAAATCAATTGGAAGTAAATTGAATTCAGGTGAGATCCGTTCTTATCAATAGATTTCTTGAAGGCGTAAAGGGAAAATCTATTGAAACTAAATTGAAATTGAAATCAATCTAAATCCTTTCTTATCAATTGATTTCTTGAAGGTTTAAATGGAAATCTATCGAGAGTATGTAAAATGAATCAATCGAAATCCTTTCTGAAGAGCATGATCCAAAAGTATCCAAAACTATTTTCAACCCTGGCCTCTCGAAATTTACCAGCCTAAAGCAACCCCCTCAATTGTTTGGGGGGGGCCGTGCACTAATCAAGATCCAACATTCGTTAAAGGGCCGCTTGCGTGCTCGATGGATGCGCAGGAAGAAAGTGAAAAGAACCCTGCTTTCAGTTTCTGCCAAACTATTTCTCAAACTATCTTGCGAAGGCTTGCAGATCTTGCAAGATGAATGTACGATGGATGACGGCATGATCTTCCCAGGGCGCCGTCGCCGTCGTCGGATCACGAGAGACATGTACTGATATGATATGTTGGTCCTTATGTTGGTAACAAATTTATGTATAGTATTTGAATCTAATATACATACATATGTATGTATATGTGTATATATATACATGATATTATGCATGTTATCATGCCAGAAGGTAAAAGGATACCTTTTTTAACACATATATCATCCCAGATCTGATCTCCGACGTTCCATGAGATTCATCATGGTCCAGCTTTTTTCGCGCCTTGGCGGCTGAACCCGGTGTTCACCTGGCATTACCCCGAGCTGCGATCTGTACAGGTGAACCAATGCCATAAACCTACTGTTTAGGGATGGTTTTTACCACCCATTTATATCCATGAAAATCGTGAGTTTGGCGATGGTTTATTATTGGGTTTACCATGTTAGACCTCATCGAAACAATTAGTATAACCCCAAAAGCCCCGAAATCGAACGCATCACAATGTGCGTATATCTATATCTACACACATATATATATATATTAATGTGTATATATTTATATAGTACTGAATATACTTGCAAACTATATAACTTATATAACCATCAACTACCAGGGATGAACTGGCTATTGTTCCAAGTGTTTAAGGCTCCGACTGCGGCGAACTTATGGAAGAAAAGATGCATGATGGAGAGGTAATTATACCGCAAATCAATGACATCCTCCTAAAATGATGCACCTGACATGGTTTCATCCTCATGGCCACCATCAATCATCCAGAATAACCCTGTGAGCCGTCGCCAATATTATGATCTGTGATCAGTGCCGAATGATTAAGATCATTTACAAGTGGATGTACATCTTTTGTTTTTACATGGCACCCCCAGCATTGTAAGTGAACTTGAGACTAAACCTGATTCTGGATGAAATCTGATGTTTTCCCCAAAACCGGCTTAACAGCGAAGCCCCCAATACAAGCGATGCTTCACCATTCTCAGGTCCAGATCGAAGGCGTGCCTGGCTCCGTGGAGAAGGGATGACTTTCTGTCCCGATATCTAGTGTTAAACTACGAGTCCACCGTTTCACCAGTGCCCAAGACTAATGTTGTGTGTGAAATTCGAACTTTGATTGGAGATCCGAACAATCTGGTGGCAACAGTGAACTCCCACGCCACCTGAAGATGACTGACTTAATGAACGATTCCTTCTAGAAGCTCCCCCAACCCATCGATTGACGGGGTACCAGTGGACACGTTTTGAAGCATATATACATTTATAATCATATGTCTGTATATATATATATATATATATTTATTTATTTAATTATTTATATATATATTTAATTAATTATATATATATATATATTTATTTATTTATTTAATTTATTCATATATAGATTCACCCACAATATGAATTGAGCAGTGCAAAAAAACCCTCTGTCACCCCCTTCGACTGGTTTATAAGGGGTCGCCAATATGGAATCCACCACTTCTCTAGGTAAGTATTTTTGAGCCATAGGGATAACCCCAACATCGCCATGCAACCAGCTAAAAGGGATGAACTGGATCCACTCAGCCCGCGCCTCCGGTTGCCTCGGGGTCTGCTTTTCCATTTGGAGAAGATGTTATCTTTTGGATTACACAAGGGTAATTAAACTAGCATCGAAGTTCCGATGAATTATATATGTCTATTTATAAATAAATAACAAAGGTGCTTGGAAAGCTTGGGACGGATTTTAGAACACAACTTTGGGAGTGTTATCAAAGTTCGGGGGTGTAAATGGCATCCTCTTGCCACTCATCCGCACGCTGAAAAAAGTCCTTCATGGACAGCAAGTTGAGACCATCCTCCCCCAAAATTAAACAAATGGTGTTGTCTAAAAATGTGGTGTTCCCCGAATTCAAACGGATTATCATGATGGTTCAACTAAAATAGTCACAAAGTGAGGGGGGCCCCATTTTTGGACAAATCCGTATGTTCACCATAAAAACATGTCCACAGGGAAATTCATCTTCCACAACTTTTCTAACTTTTCTGACTTTTCTTTGTAGCTGTCCACGCCTCGCTTCTGGAGGAAGTGCGCGGCAGAGACAGAGTGAGATTTTAAACACAGAGCGAGATTTTAATCACAGAGTGATTCTTTAAAAAACCAGATTTCAAACACAGAAGCAGCGGGTAAACAAACCATGACCACCAGCTGTAAGCATCAAAAATCATCAATATTTTTGATCATGGTGACGTTGAATTTCAATACCCTCTGGCAAACTAACATAGCTATTGAAAATGTGTGTTTTATAGCTGATCTACCCATTGAAAATGGTGACTTTCCATAGTTATATTACTTTACCAGAGAGTCATGTTGCTATTGACATCTCTTTCAAAAGTCAAATTTTAAAAACGGAAACAAATCATCACATGTCCATGATTGCAGTGCATAGCCAGTGGTTCACGGTAGTTTACATTCAGCACGCCTGTAAATTGATGGGCACGTCGAGCATCCCAGCTTTTGGCTGACGCGGTTGCGAATATCGCTGATCGTTGCGGATGTTCTTTCCCCTTAAGATGGCAATGTTGCAAACCCAAAACACTTAAAAATCCCAAATGTCTTACCAGAAGCAGCCCTTGTTTTTTTTCGTGGCCAGCTACGACTCCTAGCCATTGTGGGCAGGCAGCTCACAGATTTCAAAGTTCTGCCCATCCTGGGCACACTTGTACGAGGAGATAACCTCATCCCTTGCCATCTCCTACGCGGAGACGATGAATCTGGACGTGGTCTGTGTGCAAATGCATGTAAATTTATTTCTATATATATATACATATATATATTGCGCGTGTCTTATAACAAGATCATGATACATAAATCAATATGTATATAATGTATATGTATGTGAATTTAAATATAATATATGTATATCTTGAGTGTTTTTTATCTATACGCAATGTATATGCATACATGTATCATATATATATATAATGTAATTCTATATGTACATATATATATATCTACAATGTATTTATGTATGTATGTAAATAAATACAATGTATATGTAAATATATTGTACATGATATATGTGCATGTATGTATGTCTGTCTGTATGTCTGTCTGTCTCTATGTACTGTTAAATGCCAATTGTGCGTTCCCTTGACTAACATGGTTCCCCAACATGTCTTGGTATTCAACATCTCGGCCCAAAAAAGGCCTGGTGCAACAGTACAGTGTGTGCAGCAAAGGTTTGTTGCAACAGTGCACAGCGTCAGCTGTACAACAGACTGGTTCAACAGCTAGTTGTAATTTTACATGGTAGCGGAGCTCTGCCTAACCAGGGGCACCCCCAAGCAACAGCAGTGAACAACAGGCAGAGGACTTGATCCCAGAACACTGGGGGATCCTCAACAAGACACAACAAGCACCTACACAACAATGGCAGCGCCAGCAGATGATGAAGTAACAGCCTTGGAAGAAACGCACAAATTCAAACTCAAACCCCCAACATATGATGGCAATTATGGCACATACGAAAAATGGAAATACAAGTTCACAGCATACATGGGCCTACAGGACCCATTCTACAAAGGATGTTTAAGCCGGCAGAAGCAACGGCACAACAAGTGACAGAGGCACACCTACGACAAGCAGCTACAACACTGGAAGAAGCAGAAGCATGGGTCCAACTCGATCAAAACATCAAGTATGTGCTGACTAACGTGACAACAGGAGCAGCAACCACTCTTTGCAGACAACACCAACATGAGATTGGACCCCAGGTACTCCGACAACTCAACATGAGGTTTGCACTGCCGGTAGGAACAAGAAGCATAGGATACCTAACAAAGATCTTGAAACAAACATTTGACAACAATAACTTTGAGGAGTCATTCTCCAATTAGGAGTTTGAACTCGACAGGTATGAACGAGATAACAACACACAACTACTAGACCAGGTCAAGATTGCAGTCTTGACAATGAAACGACAGGACCACTACAGCAACACCTTCACCTTATGGCTGGAGCGATGCCAACCTACATTGACATCGGAGCAACCACCATGGAATACTACAGGACAACGACAGCATTCAGCAGGCTCCAGCAGAGCACATCAGCCAGTGTTGCAACAAACTTCAATGGAGGAGCTGCGCCGATGGACATAGGAGCCATCAACAAAGGAAAAGGAAAGAGCAAGCGCAAAGGCAAAGGAAAGAAAGGAAATGGTAAAGGAAAGAAAGGCAACTAAGGAAAAGGCAACGGACAACAAGATCTGGAACACCTCGCAGTACTACTTGTAATTGTACTACAAAGGGTCCACACAGTACCTCGCAGTACTACTTTGTACTGCAAATCTTGCACAGGGTAATTCCCAGGGCACTTCCCAGTACTACTTTGTACTACAAAGCTTGCCCAAGGCACTTCCCAGTATTACTTCGCACTCCAGACTCCACACTCCACACTTAACTCTCCACACATCACACTTCACACTCCACACTTCCCACTCCCACTTCACACTCCACAGTCCACACCCCACACTTCACACTCCACACTGCACACTGCACGCTTCACACTCCACACTTCACAATCACCACGCTTCACACTCTCCACTCCACGGTTCACACTTCAAACTTTACACTTCAAACTCTCCACTCCACACGTCACACTCCACGCTCCACGCTCCACACACTCCACCCTTCACACTTCACACTTCGCGCTTCACACTTCACACTCTCCACTCTCAACTCCAAACTTCACACTCCACACTTCGCACTCCACGCTTCACACTTCACACTTCACACACTCCAAATTCCACACTTCACGCTTCACACTCCACACTCAACACCCCACACTTCCCACATCACACTACACACTCTCCACTCCACAATTCACACTCCACACTTCACACTCAACACTCAACACTCCACATTTCACACCTCACACTCCACGTTCCACACACTCCACCCTTCACACTTCACAGTTCGCACTCCACTTCACCTTTCACACTCCGCACTCAACACTCCACACTTCATAATCCACACTCTGCACTTCACACTGCATTTCACACTTTGCACTCTCCACTCCACACTTCACACTCCACACTCCACACTTTACAATTCAACCTTCACACTTCACACTCAACACTTCACACCTCACACTCTCCACTGCACACTTCACACTTCACACTCCACACTCAACACTCCACAATTTCCACGTCACACTCCACACTCTCCACTCCTGACTTCACACTCCACTCCGCACTCTGCGCTTCACACTTCACACTTCACACTCCACACTTTACAATTCAACCTTCACACTTCACACTCAACACTTCACACCTCACACTCTCCACTGCACACTTCACACTTCACACTCAACACTCCACAATTTCCACGTCACTCTCCACACTCTCCACTCCACACTTCACACTCCACTCCACACTCTGCGCTTCACACTTCACACTTCACACTCAACACTCTCCACTCCACCCTCCACACTTCACACTCCCCGCTCCACACTTCACACTGCACACTGCACACTCCACACTTCACACTTCACACTTCACTTCACGCTCCAAACTCCAAACTTCACACTGCACACTCTCCCCGTCACACTCCACACTTCCCTCATCACACTCCACACTTCACTTCACACTGCACACTTCACACTTCTCACTTCACACTCTCCACCACACACTTCACACTTCACACTCCACACTGCAGCTACGGCTACACAGGACAAGGTTAAAGGAAAACGGCCCGTTGGACAAATAGTCCAATACAAAGGATTCAACAACTATGCACAAGGAAAAGGAAAAGGACAAGGAAAGGCAACCGGCAAAGGAAAGGATACACAACAGGCTGCTACAGATGTGGTCAGCCAGGCCACATGGCAAAAGACTGTAGAGTTGCAGTCTGCAACATTCAGGAGGACGTCCAGGAAGGATACAACGATGCAACAGAGCAGTTGTATGGACCACAAGCCGCCTATGACAACCATTGGTGGACAAATGACCACACACACAAGTCAACGCAGTGCAGCAACCACAACAATTTGCACTGCCAGCACCTTCAAAATTAGATGCAACACCAGCATTACAGATTGCAGCGGTCACAGTACCAAGCAACAGCAACGGCAACAGCATAGTAAGAGCACCAGACATGAGCGCGATCACAAACCTCACTCAACAAGGATGAACTAATGATCGACAGTGAAGCCGCAACATATGTTTCCCCAATTTGGTTTGCCTCAACAACGCAGACGTATGACATACCTGAGCAAGAGAAGCCAAACCTGAGAACAGCAACAGAAGACCCCATGCAGGTCTATGGATACAAATGGGGTACATGGCCAATGAGAGCAACCAACAGATTGCGATCCCGTTCTATGTGTGCTCGGTTTCACAACCAGTACTGTCAGAAACAAGACTGACAGAACAAGGCTTCACAATCCACCTCGGTGAGCAACCAACAATCACACATCCAAACAGGTTTGAAGCAAAACTACGAGCAAAGGAAGGAACATACTTCCTACCTGTGAACAACACAGGAACACTACCCAACTACAAGCTTGACGTCCACAACACGCAACAAGGAATCAAAGCAACAATATAGCCCATCGCCTTGACATGACGAGGAGCACAATGGGTGACACACCAACACGACATTTGGACATACAACAATCAAGGATACTTGGTGAGACTCCACAAAGCCAAGCGCAAAGCAACATACACGCCAGACCAAAAATGTCCAGTTCCGATGGACAAGCTTGAGGATGACAGAAGAACAATAGCCCACAAACACGACGGCACAACAGAGGATTTTGAGGAGAAACTCCACAGCCCTGAGCACAGTCAACAGAAGAGGATGCTGAACACAGCATGGAAAGGTGAAACATGGTTCAAGGATAGGTCAAGAAGAATGCATGACCACCAAAGCCACTGATTGCAACACCGGCAACATCAAACAAAGCATCCGGGCACCCAATCAGCAACCGCAGGAACAAGCACAACAGAAAAGGAGATATCCAAAGGAAGCCAGAGAGGCCAGAAGAGATGACAACAAGCAATGAGCAACAGCCTAGCAGTGAACAGCAACCATATCCAGCAACAAGCATTCCACGACCAAAGGAACTTGCAACAACAGAAGACTATTGGATGCGTGAAGGACATCTGTGGAAAAGAATCCGCAAAAAGCCCAGAACAGAACTTTACATACCACAACAGACGCAAGATGGGCCAGATGTCACAAAGCTGATCCCTGAAAGGACAACAACAATCGTCAAGCCAACATCAGGAGCAAGATGGTACAGGATCGATCACGATTGGACAACGAAGCGACAAGCAACTTTCATTGTCCCATGGACTGGCTTGACAAACTTTGAGGAGAGCACCTCATATAAAGATGAGGTACGTGACGTGGATGAAGAAGATCCACAACAAGCAAAAAAGCAAGAGGACTCACAGCACCAGCACAACCAACACAACAGGAAAGAGCAGAGCATGACCTTACACACCTACCTTTCAGAAGTTGGCGTCCAACATGCGTAGCCAACAAGGGTAGAGCAGACAATCATCCAAAACAGTCGAGCAAAATGCCAGTAGTACAATTTGACTTCTGCTACTTCAAGACAGCAGTAGAACCAACAACAACCGCAATACTCACTGGGATTGACGTGGAAACAGGCATGGCTATGGCAACAACGGTAGGAGATAAGCAACAAGACCAATACCATGTCAACTGCATCCAATCAGTCTTCATG